AAAATAGCGTCTTGTTAGGAATTTGGACAAGACAACCAGTAAATTCTCCCAGCAGTATTGAACCCCCTTGTTCCTCCAGGGGGTCTCCAAAGGTATACATGTTCCAATTCTGACCCAAAACCAATGAGACTTTTCTTTTTTTTGATCACTTCACCATGGACAAAAGATATCATTAAAGAAGGTGAGAAAAGAGCAGGTCCCCATCATCCAGAGCCCTCCCAAAGAGCCCACAGAAGTAAAGAGGGGATGAACAAGAGAAACGGTTTATTTATACACACGCAGGAGCCAACCAGAAAAGTAACTACCGTGTTAAATGGTGAAAGTTAAAAGCTTTGTTATCAACCTAACTTAACAGGGCAAAGGGAGAGGAGAGAATTGGCTTCCATGACAGGTTTTCTTCTACATCTACTGAATCTCAGGTATCTTCAGCTAAAGTGCTTTTCTATTAACCATGGGTTCCATCTGACTTTCCATTCCTCTAACTTTGTTCTTCTTTTTCAAGATTCACTCATGTATTCTGAGCCCCTAGATTTTCCACGTGAATTTTAGATTGATTTTCAATTCCTGCAAAACACCACCTGGGATTTGGGTAGGCATATTTTGAATCCTTAGATCTATTCATGGACTACTGTCATCTTAGTAGAATGAAGCCTTCTGCTCCATGAATATGGGAATATTCTCTGTGAATGTAGGTCTTAATTTTTCTTGACAGAATCTCTCCTCTATTGTAGTCTTCAGTGTCCAAGTCTGGTACTTCTTCCTCACCTCTATTGGATGCTGATTCAAAAGCGACACGACCTCCTGGAGAACCTCTGCTGCCACGGAACTGACATGGAAGTGAGTTCTGAGAAGGCTTTAAATTCTTTTAAATATAGGATTAATGTACTTTAATTACTCCATAGATGAGTAATGTATGGGTCACATTAACATAGGATTTTAATCCTTTTTGAATTAGTAGAGTAATACAGACACAGTACAATAATTTGTTATCTTTATAGGAGTGCAAAAGTGTTAATATCCTTAAAGCTCAGAGTTTTGAGAATAGGCTCTCCTGTTTATTTCAGGCTAAAGGCAACATTATTTTACAAAAGGAGCAGGGGTAGCAAGACTAAGCCTAGAAAACACGGCAGAGGGTTAAAGGAAAATGAACAAATCCAATATGGAGTCAGATTTGTTCTTCTCTATTACAGCGACTTTTGTTGAGAGCTAAGAGGATGATTCCTGGGTGGGTCCTCCACTGTCCCAGGCTGGAGTTCAGGCAGGATCCCTGCCAGACTCCCCATGACATTGGACCTGATCTCCCGCAGAGAAAGTGACAATTATTGGATTAAAATTACCTGTCAAAATCCCTTCAATTGCCTGTAAACTCTACCACAGCAGGGGATGTCTCATTCACCAGTCAACTGCCAGTCTCCCTTGATGCAAGGGACCAGCGTCGTGGCGGGATCCATGGTGGCCTGGACATTGCACCTTCCTACTTTGCTCTCCAGTTTTAGCTTTCTAACTTTGACGCTTTAAAAGCTAGCATCCCTCTTCCCTCTGGCCTTGTATGAATGAACAAGATCCCTGCACCCACCTGGGCTGAGCCCAGGCCACGCACACAGCTCCATGCACACAGCCCACCATCTGCTGTCTATCCCTGGGCTCAAGTGGAAACTCTGAACTCCCCCACCCCAATGGTCTGCATGCCCAGTGCCTCCGCCCTAGGGGTCCAGATCACCATCAGGACCATCAACCACCCAAGGCCCACAGGCCAGTGGCTGGCAGCCTGGGATCACCCTGACCCATCGGGTCAGATGAGACACAGGGTTTGGGGATCAGGGTGCCAGGGCGGGAATTGGAACCGCCTTCAATCCAGCCTGCCTCGCCCTGTTGCCTCAGACATTAACTATGAAGGTACACACTAGGCTGGATCCCCCACTGGTGGCAGTAGTCATCATTACTGGAGCCTGGATTTCCCCACCCCAACCACAGGGTGAGGGGTGAGGGAGTGAGCTCAGGGTAGGGGTGCACTCAGAGTGAAGGGGATCCCATGGTGAGGGGGTATAGGTTGGAGTGTGGGGCCCGCTCAGAGTAGAACTGACCTGGCTGAGAGGTGAGGGGGACAGTTTCAGGTTGTTGGGGTTCCTGTGCTGAGGCATGAGGGGTAAGCTGGTGGGTCTAGGGGCCATAGGTTAGGACCTAGCAGGATGGAGTGTCAGGGCAGGGACCTCGGTGTGAGGAGAAGGAGCCCTGTCTTCAAGGTCTGTTGGGAGACTGGGCCGGGCCAGGGGTGGGAGGGTAGTAACAGGGAGCGGTAGGTGAGCAGGGGAAGTGGGGCTGGCGGGGAGTGGCCTGGCCCAGGACAGTTGTGGTCCTAGTTCAGTGCCAGGACCCAGTCAGTGGCGGGGTGAAGGCTCTGGGGAAGGAGACCCGGAGGGACAAGCAGGAGGGGCCCCACCTGGCTCCTCCCGGCCCAGCGGCCAGGTCCGGTAAAGCAGGAGACCCACCCGAGCAGTTTGCGCTGCAGGGGGGAGAAGGAGGGGCGCGCATGCGCAGACGGACAGACGCGTGGACGCCGGAACCCGCCCAGAATGCGTGGAAGCTGGCGGGAGCCGGTTGCTCCTGGACCAGCTCCAGGAAGAGGAACACGGCCTGGGGTCTGGGCCGCCGCTTGCACGCGGCTCGTCTGCCGCTGCCGGGCAGTTAAGGGGGCGCTGGTGGGGGCGCGCTGCTCGGGGAGCCGGCGGGTGACGCCTGGGCTGTGCAGCTGAGTAGGCGCCCAGGGACGGGTGCGGAGGTGAGATCCCGGCCGCGCGTCCCGTTAGGACAATGAGGCGGGTCCCAGCCGCCGCTGTGGTTCGTGGTAACCCCGGTATTAGTAGTTCCTGAACCCCGCGTTTTTGCCGCCGCTTATAACCGGGTTTAGGAGAGCAAGCACAGCCCAGGGAGGTGGGAGGGCACCGGACGTCTCCGGAGCATCTCCGATGCAGACGATGGCCTGCTCCTGGCAGGCGGGTGTGGTGCGGTCGCGAGTCCT